CGACCTCATAGAATTCTTTGCAATTTTCGTTACACACTTCCCCATCCGCTCGGCTATCCACCGCTTCCGCTGAAAGGTTGGCATGTCCGACGCAGCTCAATCTTCATCCCCGATCTTGCACCGGCCCAGCTGTTTCAGCGTGTATGTAAAGGCTCTTCTGTGCCGCTTCAACATTTGCTTCATGAGGTCAGCTTCTTCCGCCGAAAGTGCCGAACCCACCGCCCATGACTCTGTAGGATTCCATTACTATAGCAGCTTGATAGAGCTCGGAAGCACGATTCCAACGCACCAAGATTGTAGGACATGGTCCACTATAGCCAGAGGTACACACACACATAGCGGTGATAGTGCTATACGAGATGCATTACAAAAACAAAGAACACAAGAAAGTGCCAACCTGGGTCGCGCATTGAATTTTGTCGACGCGAGATTCCGAGCCTTGAATTTCGTCAGACGAATTACATTGACCGGAATTCCGTACACGAGAATTTCCACGACCGGAATTCCGTCGACCACCGACTGTAACTCCCGTGCGAATTCCGTTGACTTCGACACTTCGCTGCCGGAGTTTCAAACTGAACGCGACCCGTGATCAATCTCGCCAAACTGTCCCAAATCTGTCCCCAAATTGTCCCCAATCTGTCCTGGCAGGACACTTTCGGGACACTTGAATCGAAAGGTCTCCAGTTCGAAACTCGCGTGCACCATTACCAGCGCCTTAGCAGAAACTGTCCTGAATCTGTCCTGAGACACCTTCAGGACAATTGAAGGTCACGAGTTCAAATCCCAGCACCGACATTTTGTTTCTCACGGCAGCATTTCTTCTAACACACCCGCCTTGCTGTCAGGAGCACGCTAGAACCAGCCCGGCTGCTACACAGCATCGGGTAAAGGCTGCCTTGCCGAGCCGCTTCGTGAAGAAGTCCGCGGGCTGCGCTGTCGTAGGGATTCGCTGCAGCTCCAATTCTTTATGCACGCCACCATGCCTTGCAGCCACATGTGGCGACGGTCCACATGCTTCATGCGCCCCTGCAGCCCGCCCGCCTGGCTGAGCCGCACCGCTGACATGTTGTCGACGTGTATGGTGGTAGGAACACCCCTACCTTGAACAGCTGAAACTCCATAGCAGGAACCTTAGTATGCGCCCCTCCCTTCCCGCTTCCACTGTAGCCACAATCTAGCTCTCGGTAGAGGAGAGCTTGGTCGCCCCCCGCAGCTTCTTGGCCTGCCAAGAAACGGCAGCTCCACCAAGCTTGAAGAGGTAGCCTCCCAGTGGACGACCGGTTTTCTCCTTGTCACCCACATCATCCGCATCCGCATACCCCACCAAAAGTCAAGCTCTCTGGTCCTCCCTTGAACACACAGCCCCATGTCCGATGAGGCACCCGTAGGAGGGTGTGCGGAAGGAAGAGCTCATGCCAATGTGCGTCCGTCCTTAAGTGTGCACTGCCTGCAAGGCGACTGCACGCAAAAGAGAGGTCGGGACGGGTTGAGATAGCTGCACACTAAACCATCGAGAATAGATGGGTACTCGGTCATGGTTCGGTTGGCAATTGCTTGGCATCCCGCTTGCAAAGCTGGCAGAGGAGGGAGGAGTGATCGGCTGCTTCTGGCTCCACCTTGCGGAGCTTAACAACGCTTGGGCAGCAGCTCCTTCAGGTCCTGCAGCAGCTGCTTGTCTTCACTTGCTGCTAGCAGGTCATTCTGTCGATTATCAGCCACACGCACTTCCCGTTCGACCCATCCTTGTAGTATAGGGGCCTGGTCCACAAGGCCTCTTCCTGTATCCCTCCACAATGAGCACCTTGTCTAGCTCCTTGTACCACAGGAGAGGACTCTGCTTGAGTCCGTAAAGGCTCTTGTGCAGATGCACACATTGCTGCTGCCTTCAGTGAAGTAGGGCGGCTGCTGCATGTAGATTTCATGGTCGATGTTGCCGGAATGCATTCTTCACATAAAGCTGTATCAAATCCAGTCCATGTGGACCAGCTCCAAAGGCTTCTTGCTCCTGCCAGCCACACTATGGAAAGGGAAACGGGTGAACTTTGAAAGCAAACAGATTTTCACAGTTGCAATCGAGGTGGCTGTCCGTTCAGCTTCAGACCCTTAACGGCTCCATCCTTCTCCAGCTGCTTCAGCAAAGGCATTGCCACATGCCCTAAGCGCCGGTGTGCCGTTGCCCAATCTGTCTCCCCAGATCTGGCCGACACTTTCACACCAACCCCTCCAACGGCATTGCACTCCCCCTGGGATGCAGACCCCTCTCCAGCCTGCCCCCCACCATGCCACGCCAGGGCCGGCAGTGCCCACATAGATCTGTACACGTCCTTGCTCTCGTGCAGATCCCAAAGCACCCGATTGCCCAGCTTCCCCTTATAAGTGCGTGCCCCATCCGTGTTGGTGTTCACCCCAGCCTTGCCAAGCTTACGGAGGGAGATAAGGTTGGCCTTCAGGTCGGGGACGAAGAGAACGTCGTGCAGCACCACCGGCTTGCCATCCGCTCCCTTAAACGCAGCTCGTCCCGCACCAGCCACCTTCAACATGTGTCCAGAGGCGGAGCACACTTCATTGATCGGTGCAGCTCGTACTTCGTCCAGCAGGTCCTTGCGCGGCGTCATCGTCCAAGCAGCGCCTGTGTCCAACACCCAATAGTCTAGGGGGTGCAGCTCTGCTCCAACTTTGGCAGAGGCGTCTCCTTGCTCCCCCTTGTCTCCCACATGGAAGAATTGGCCCGCGGTGCGCTCCTTCTTCTTCTCCGCACCGCCGTTGCCCTTCGGGTTGTTGTCGGACGAATCAGCGACCATGTTGGCGCCGTTTTTCTGGTTCCTCCGCGCACCGCCATCCTGGTGACGATTCTGGGGGGTCCATCCATCGGGTTTCTTATAGCACAAAAACCAGGGGTGCCCTTCCTTCTCACAATACCAGCAACTCCCTTTCATTTTGCCACCAGCACCCGACTTGCCCCCACGTCCAGATTTCGCACCGCGACCCCAACCGGTACCTCCTTGTTGGTCGTTGGAGTCGTCGTCTTTCTTTGCACCGCGTCCAGCACCACCGAAGCCACGTCCTCTGCCACGTCGGCTCCCTTGCATATCGTAGCCGCTGCTGCCGTCGTCTCCACCCCTCAGTTGGCGGCGACGGAAGTTCTCCTCCAGAATCTTCGTCCGCACCCACTCGAGCGTCCACAAGCTCTGGTTCTGCGGCAGGCTCAATCCGCTCGTAAATTGAAGCCACGATTCTGGCAGCAGCGAGAGCATCTTCAAGCACTTGGTCTGCTCCGGGTAGGTGATTCCCGCGGTCGCCAACTTCGCGTAGAGGTCGCGCATCTTGTCCAGGACTGGTTGCACCGGCTCTCCCTCGCTCAGGCGCAACGCGGACAGCTCCCTCTCCAGCATCAACGTTGCGACAACGGAGGTCGGGGCGTGCAGCTCCTTCAACACGGTCCACGCCTTCGGACCGCATTCAACCTCCGGCAGCAGGTGCATGACGTGGTGACGCTGGTTCAGCTCCAAACTCTGCGACATCAAATAGTAGCCAGCCGAGGAGCGCTCGTCCCAATCTTCCTGCAGCGTGGGGTCACTCGGTCTAGGCTCCTCCCCAATCATTAGTTTCAGCAAACCGATCTGACGGAAATATAATTTCCAGGCCCAATCATCATAGCCCTCACCATTGAACTTCTCGACGGTGAAATTCTTCAGCACCTCCTTGACAAGCGAGCCCTAGTTTGTTCGCGCTCCCCTTGGCGCTGAAAGACCAGAATCTTGGCTGCCGCTACGATCTTAGGCTGAAGATTCACCAGCTCCCGCCGAGGTGTTGCCCGCCATAGCTACCTATAACGAGGATCACTATAACGCAGCTCTGATACCAGCTTGTTGGTGTAAGGGCCTAATAAACTCAAGCTATTAGGACTTAATCAAACTTAAAACCTCTCCTCGGGGTCACCTCCAAGGGTCCCTGGGTGCCTGGTACAAGACCAGCCCCTATCCTCGGGTCCGAGTTTGTAGAGAGAGGGATCAAGAAGGACTTAGTCAAAACAGCAAGAGTACCTTGAACGTCGCGCAGCGTGCCGTGCAGACCGTCGATCGGATTAAGCTGAGAATTCGCTATATCGAAGCTCGCTCCAAGAGCTTTAAAATGAGCCAAGTTGCCTCGCGAAAAGTTCTGCCATTACGAAGTTATGGCTCAGACGGTGTTTGCCTAGCATTAGAGTGCTAGCGTACTAGCGTTGACTCGGGTAGCATTCCGCCAACGAACCGCGTAGAAACGAAATTCCAGCGAGGAAGGAATTCACATGAATCAATTTGACTATATTCAGGTACAAACAGAGAAGGATTAAATAGTTCTAGCTAGCAAGGACCTTGGGAATCAACCTGGGAACAACCAGGGATGATCCCAAATAATTCCAAGCAACAGAACCAACCTGGCTGGACAAAATAGCAGGTGGTAGGTTGGTAAACAACCTTTGTTCTTTTTCCAACCTGGGAAAAACAACAACCAGGTTCAGGTTCTAAAAACAGAACCTGTTTTGTCTTTGCCCAACCAGCCAAATGCTGGTTCCGCTGGTTTTCCCTGGCCTTGTAGCATGCAGATACAGACAAACAACATCCAACCTTCACCTAAATTGTACCCCTATAGTGCCTTCCCTGCTACACTATAGTTAACCAAACAAAACAGTACAATTTCGAGTTGGATAGAACTGAATCTGCGCAATCAACTCAACCGAACTGCAAAGCTTCCATCTTGGGTTCCTTTGTGAGCTCGTCCTTTCTGCTTGCACTGTTCATAGCGCGTACAATGTTGTGCCGAAGCGCACATTGCGCGAGTACCTGCAAATGCATCAAGCGAAAATTGCGAAAGCAAACAAACACACGAACATTCCATTCACACCCAAATGCATTCGCACACGCATACTCGTACAAACAGACGGCAGGATGTCATGCAATGTGCATTTGCACCCAACATTCCTTCCTCCTCATGATCAGCCGTGTCGCCTCCGTCCTCATAAGGACCATCCTCTGGTCCCACGGGTGCCGATTTAGCAACGGAGGGTGGACCAAGAGGAGGAGGTGTAGTAGGTGCCTTGCTGCCCAAAGGGCCCACCGAGCGCTCAAGGGGTTGCTCGCCCCCTTACAGTGATGGCACCGGGACCACGATGACGGTACAGGGTGGCAGCAAATTTTGCTTGGGGTCCTAGGGCTCCGGAAAGAGAGATGGGACTGAAGCAAAGGGTGGTGTGGGCTGGTCATTTCTATCACCCGCGCGTGCACGCCACTTCTGCCACCTTTCCAGTGACATATCCTCACAAAACCGTGCATCCCGTGTGATGACCATACGCTTTGACTCACATCCACCACACGCCATCCCTTGCTTTCCATGCTCATGCCCAAATGCATGCCCCAACGAGTCTTGCTTGCAAGCTTCCCCTCACGCTCATGCTCTAAATGAGGTACTGCACCTTGCACCCAAACACACAGACCATGGACACATCAGGCTTCCCTTTGAACACCACCAAATAAGGGGTCACACCATGGGGCAGGGTGGACTGGTGCACACGGTTTACCACCCACAAGAACTGCTGGAAAGCAAAGTGCCACCAGTGTGCTTTCACCCCCATGTGCCCCAACATCACACGCATGCCCTCGGTTACCGTACGGTTGCGGCGTTCAGCCATACCATTTTCTTGGGGGGTGGAGGGGCGGGAAAGTTGATGCAGGATTCCTCGTTGTTTCAGCAGCAGGAGGAACTCATTCGACATAAACTCTCCTCCCCGGTCTGATCGCAACACCTCAGTGTCATTCCGGTCTAGCGTTCAACGTTGGAAAGCCACTCCTTGAAGGCAGCAAGCGTGTCGCTTTCCACCTTCAGCGTCTTCCCCCGGGTGTAGCGCGAAGCATGGTCCACAAAAAGGATGCAGTACCTGCTTTCATCCATAGCTAGGGTCTGAAATGGGCCGCACATGTCAGTATGGACCAACCCAAGAACCTGCTCCTCTCTCTCATCGTGCAGCGGAAATGACTCTCGAGTGAGTTTGGCTTTATGGCAGGAGGTGCACAGCATATCTTCACCTCCTTCCTCCACGTCCATGCCTGTCACACCACCGCTCGTGGCTGTCCGCTTCACCGCATCGAAGGAGAGTGTGCCACAGGTTGGGCGTTGCTTTGGAGCCCACCGCGTAGATCTTAAGGCTGGCCGCTCCATCCTTAGCTTCTCTCTTGCTTGACACAACATAAGCAATCTCCTTTGATGTGCCGTTGCTTGCCGTTGCAGCCGCAGTGCCATTGCTTGCCGCTGCAGCCGCCGTGCCATTGCATGCCGATGCAGCCCCTGTGCCATTGCTCGCCGCTCCAGGCGCCATATTGTTGCATGCCACTGCAGCCGCCATGCCATTGCATGCTGCTGCAGCTGCCGTGCCATGGCATCCCGCAGCAGCCATCATGCCGTTGCAAGCTGCTGCAGACGTTGCACCGGTCCTTGCTGTCCCCGGTTTCCGGTCAAGGCAGAGAAGGTGATGGCGGTATCGTGCCGTTGCAGCCATTTGACCTTCTGATGCGATGATGCGAGTGACACCTTCCTCGGTTTGCAGCTTTGCTCCCTTGTCCAAGAGCTGCCGAGGGGAGACCAAGTTGGCCTTTTCATGGCACAAAGTGAACATCATGCAGGGCCACGCGCAAGCCGTTAGTGCCCTACAAAAAAACCTCTCCAACTCCAGCAACTTCCCACATAAAAATATAAAACCCTATGACGGATTTCGTTGCAGAGAGGTCACGGATCACTGTGAACCACTCCTTGCGGCCGGTGATGTGTTGGGAGCATCCCGAGTCGAGGAACCATAGATCCTTGTCGTCGGCCAGCAACTTTGCAGCTGAACACGTGACAGTGAGCACCACGCCCTTCCCGTCTCCTTCAGCAACGTTTGTGGCTGCCGCGGACGGTGCATCCTTCTTTTTGTTAGGGCACTCGGCAGCCATGTGCCCCTCCTCGTTGCAGTTGTAGCAGAGCCCTTTGAAGGGGGCTCGCTTCTTCTCCCGCTTGCCATCCTTCTTCTTGTCCGTCTGCTCCTTTCCTCCTTTTTCTTCCTTCCCGTTGATCCCCATTGTAGCCACGATGGTGTTGACAGCGCCCGAGAAAGCAAATGCATCACTAGTGATCTACTTGTGGCTGTGTTCGATGGAGAGAGTCTGCTCCTCCATCAACACCTCGCTACACACACGTTCCACTGTCACGTGCCTTCCCTCCAGCAGGCTTCACAAGAACTATGCTCAACTCCAAACTTAAATTGGCCGTAGCTCGTGCCGGTCATTCCCGTGTCAATGATTGGAGCAACATTTCCTACACCAACGCCCACGACACCAGGAGCTTTGTGCACAGCTCCTCCTTCACCAGTTCCTCCTTGCTGGTTGCTCGCAGAAGCTTGCTACGCCGCGCGCTCCCGGACCATGTGTAGAAGACTGCCATCTACAATTAGGTCTATCTCCTTATCACGCAAGTTAGGGTGGTGCTCACGCCTCCAGCTCCTGGCGGGCACTCAAGCACTCAGCACACGTTAACCACTCCATTCGCGGTCAAACAGAGCGTCGGCCACACCAACGTAGGAACGACGTGACGGGAGGACGAAATCAAGCCGCTAGTTGGATCGACGAAGATAACGCAGCTCTGATACCATGTATAATTCCACTAACATAGCAGCTTGATGGAGCTCGGAAGCACGAACCCAACGCACCAAAGATTAAAGGAAATGGTCCACTATAGCCAGGGGTACACAAAATCATAGCAGTGATAGTGACTCAGTTAATTTCTGGTTTGTGCTCTCTGGTGTTATACTAGGATGCAGTACAAAAACAAAGCACACAAGAAAGTGTCGACCCGGGTCGCGCATTGAATTTCGTCGACGCGAAATTCCGAGCCTTGAATTTCGCCAGATAAATTCCATTAACTGGAATTTCGTAGATGAGAATTTCCGCGACCGGAATCCCGTCGACCACCGACTGTAACTTCTGTGCGGATTCCGTTGACTTCGACACTTCGCTGCCGAGTTTCAAACCAAACGCGACCCGAGATCGATTTTGCCAAAGTGTCCCCAATCTGTTCCCAAACTGTCCCCTATCTGTCATGGCACGATATTTTTGGGACACTTGGATCAAAACGTCTCCAGTTCGAGACTCGCGTGCACCATTACCGGTGCTTTAGCAGAAATTGTCATGAATTTGTCCTGAGACACTTTCATGACAAATTTGAAGGCTACGAGTTTGAATCCGACTGCCGATACTTTGTTGCTCATGGTAGCATTTCCTTCTAACAGACTCCTCTTCGTCTCCTGCCCCCGCTGCAGCTTGCTCTGCGAGGCTCTCCCGCAGTGCAAAGAAGGACTGCATGCAGTTTCGCTTCGCCAGGCGGCTGCGTATGGCCACGCTGCCCTCTTCTCCCAAGGGCCTCCGCTATTTTTTATCTTCTCTTCGCTGTTCAGTAGCGTTTCCAGCTTCCGTTTCTCCGTGTTGAGTCTGTCCTGCGCCTCATTGTTTTTTCCTCCACCCTGGTGTCCATATCCCACAGCAGGAGCTGAACCTCCACGGTGTGTAGCAGCCACTCCATCGCTTCCACGTCCATC